TTGGTTTATTTTGTAATTAGATAACTAAAAATAGTAATAAAGCAAATATAAATTAATTAAATAGATAAATTAACTTATCTTTTTAGTTTTTTATTTCTTTAAAGCACATTTATTTATTTATTTTTTTACTTATTAATTTATTTTCTATTTTCTATTTTAAATTTTTATTTTTAACCTTTTTTTTAAAATACTTGTTTATAACCACTTCTTTTTAAATATTTGTTATTAACTTTTTCTTTTTTATTTATTTTATTTACTTTATTAACAAATTTATATTTTTATGAAAAGTATCAATTATATTGACTTACAAGGTTCGTAAAACATTGGTTCTATATTAAAGAAGTGCAGTAATCTTACAACTTTAGCAATCGTGATAAGGTATATAATTAATTTATATTTGCCTATAATATTTTTGTATAATAAATATGATTTAATTTTAATATTTATTTTGATTTAATTTACTGATTGATACCTTTTTTGCTCATTTATTTATTGTTTGTTTATTTATTTATTTAATTAATTATTTTTTTTTTATAATTAACTTATTTATTGATTGTTTAAAAACTTCAGAAACCAAATTTGTATTTAAAAACTGAGAACGTATGTCCATAAAATGAAGAGATTAATTAAAATAAATTTATAATGATGTGAAATAATAATTACTTTAGTTCAATTCTAGCTAGTAAGCTTTAAAATTAAAAAATAATCAAAATTATAAAACGAATGAAAGAATTAAAATAATTATCTTATGTTTTGTGAAAAGAATTTCTTAATAAACTAATATTAAATTTAGTAAATTTTATATCATTTGTTTTTATTTATAAATATCCATTTTGACTGTAAGTGACAAAATAAATAAACTAAATAGAGTTTTTTTACTTTTTAGATTATATAGCATAATATCAAAAGTTTTGTGGTTTGTTTACGTTTATTTGCCAATAATTTGGATTAAATTTTTTAAATATTTGTTATTAAAAAAGGTTACAATTAAAAATTTTAAATGTACTGTTAACTATTTTAATTTCATTATCGAACTTAAAATATCTAATAACTATTTCTCTATTAGTAAATAAATATTGAGTAGAATAGTAAACATTATTTAATAAATAAAAAAAAATTTTATATAAATATTTAAAAAAACGTATCGAAATACGTTCAATCGAACCTAAAAAAACCAAAAAAAAAATAACTAAAAAATGTTTAATTTCATAATTCTGAAGCAAAATATTTTTTGAAAAATATAAAATTACCTACCTACCTACCTGCATGTATAAAAATTTTTTTCAGAGAATCTGATTAAAAGTAAGCAAATAAAAATGCTATTGTAATTTGAAAAAAATAATTAAACTAAAAGAATGAGGTAATTAAATATATTTGCTATAAATTTATTTAGCTTTGTTTTATTATTTAATAAATTTATTTCTGAATTTAATATAATTTAATTAGTATTTATTTATCCTCTCATTAATTTCTTTCTAAATACTTTCTACAAAATTTAATTTTAATAAATTAGATTCGTAAATAAATAAATATCCCTTTATTTTTTAAATTTTTATTACTTATATTTAAAATAAAAAATAAATTGTCTAAAATGATTTTATTTGTACGAGATAGACAAATTATTTGGAGAATTAATTAATTCACTATTTTTAAAGACTAAAAAATAAGCAGAATATTGATTGATTGATTTATTTATTTTTCTTTTTTCAATTAAATAATTAAGAAATTGTATTATTAGACACAATACATTTAATATAAAAGAAATTAAATATAAGAAGAATTAATAATAGTATTTATTTATATTAATAAAATAATTATTATTTGATTGTATGTATGTAAGTAAGTAAAAATAAATTATTTTATATTTTAATTTTTTGAAGCCAATCATAATTATAATTGATAGTGTAGAGCTATTATCAAAGTTTCATTAAAAGATAAACACTCAGCAATCTAATTTATATTATTAAATTATGAATTAATCTCCTCATTTAATTGCTAATGAAATTGATTAAATTCTTTTGAAAAGAGAGGTTTTGCTTGGTTATTGATTTTTGTTTAATTTTTTAATTGTTAGTTAGTTAGTTAATTATTTAGTATGTAAGTATCTATCTATCTATGTATGTATGTATTATGTATGAATGTATGTATGTATTTATTTAATGTTAATTTTGAGGAAGTTTAATGAATAAATAATATTTTATGTGAAATTTGCTCAACTAGAGGTGTTATCTTGCTGGTAATTAAAATTTTGCTGCAAATCTTCATTCATTAATTTCAACTCTTCTGACATATCTGTATTTTTTTTGTGGATGATCTTGTTTTCGACTATGATTGTTTCATTATGCAATTTAATTTTCATGTTTTCGAGCTTAATTTTTTAATGATAATGATCTAATATATCTTTGTGCTTGTATATTTTTTACAGGAGTTTCTCGCATTCCTGCTGGTTATCCTCTGTTATTTATCCAAATTGCAAAAGTTCTTTTTCATTTAAAATTAAAGATTTCTCTAAATCGTTAAGCATTTTCTTATTAACCTCGAGTTTCTCCATATTGAGAGAAATGATCTCTTTATTCTTCTGAAGTATGAGATTATTCTTTTTTATCTCCTTGCTAAGTCCTTGCAAATCTATTTTTTAAATGGTAGGCATATTTTATTAATGCTTATTATAAAATTATTTTATTTACGAGTAAACCTTGCTTCTAAATCCGCTATCAGCATCCCTTCTAAATGTTGCTTCAGTAAAGTAAAGTAAAATAAAGTAAATAAATAAATAACTATATATTTATATATCTATATATACTTTTTTGCTACTTAAAAAATTTTAAACAGAAATATTATTGAGTTAACAATAATTAGCTACAACTAAATATTGAATTCAAATAATATGTAAAAAACAATGAATATATTAATATATTTCAAACAAACTAATCGGCTATTAAATTTACATGAATATATCCATACAAAATTGACTTTTCTATTCTGTTCTGTTCTGACACTTATTTATTTATTTATTTATTTATGAATTTCTTTTCATTTTTTATCAAAATAAAATCAATTTTAATATGAAAAATAAATTATTTTAAAATGAAATAAATTTGTTAATTATAAAAATGATAATATAATTAATTAATTATTATCATTTATTTAAAAAATTTAAATGAACATTTTTGAATTATGTTAAAGTAAACATTTTAAAATTCTTAATTTTTATTAATTTTTAAGCAAAAAAATAATAATTTATTGTATATAAATACTTATTGATTAATCTTATCAATAATAATTAGCTCTTTAATAATATTCTATCATTTCTTATTATTTCTAATTGAGGTTTATTTAAAGCTCAATGAATAATAAATAAAAATAATAACTAAAAAAAAATAAAATAAAATTTTTTAATAAAATATTATATTTTAAATCAATAAATATCGTTAGCACAATAAAAAATAAAAAGAAAGTTAATGAATAAATTAAAAGAGTAATTATATTATTTTAAATTCTTGTTTATATTAAAATATATAATCCAAAACAAATAAACTGTTTTTATGGTATGATAAGTGTCAAACTTGAGAGATTTTTTTAGCAGCTTACATGCTGCTTGCTTTATAATTAATATAAATTTATAAATTATATTAATTTATTTATTTTTTAATAATTAATATTATACTTATTATCAATAATTAATTAACACATTTCTCAATATTTTTTATTCAATTTCATTTTACTTTCAAAATTAAAGAAATAAATATTTTTTTAATAAAATAAATGAAAATATAATTAGCATGTAATTTATTTTAATAAAAACAAATAAATTATTTTTATAAGTTAATACCTTAAAACTCTGAATATTTAGCAATTTATAAGCAAACCAATAATAATTGATTGAATTAAAATATTTATTCACTATTTTTATCACAAAAATAAGCTTATTAACAACATCATATTTTGTTTTATTACTAACTCAAAAAATAATCTAAAATATCAATTAAATTATTGTTTGAAAATAATAAAAAATAGAAATTTTTTTGCATTAAATTTAATAAATGCTATGGAGATTAGGGAATAAATTTAGTAAATGCTTAAAAATTTATTAAAATTAAAAGTAATTATAGTTAAACGCCTAATTAAAATCTAGTGTTATGGCAACCTACCTCTAGCTAGATATTAATTAGGCTAAGTTATTTAATAATCTATTTTCTAAGGTACTAAAATAAATATAAATTCATAAATATAAAAACAATAATAAACTTATCTACCTATTTTTTAAGTTTAATTATCTTATTTTAAAATATTAAATAATACAATATTTTATTTTCTATTATTAAAATATTTAATATTTATTCATCCTTTTTTCACCATTTGTATGTATGTATATCATTAATAGAAATATATTTTAAAGATAACTAATCTTTTTAATTTAAGACACTGGCTTTTTACTTTCAATGTTTATGAATAATTTATTTAATTTTCACTTTTAAATAAAATTAAATTAAAATAAAATATTAATAAATAAAAAAAGATTAGCAGAATAAAAATAAATAAATAAATAAATAAATAAGATAAAAAACAATAAACAAATTAAAAGAATTAAAATGTTTTAAATTCACATTTATAACTAAAAATATCAAATTCAAAACAAATAAACTGTTTTTACCCAAGATAAAGTGTCAATTATGAGAGATTAGTGCAATTTGCTAAAGCAGAACCTAAGCCTGATGCACCTGTTGCACCAATTTAATTATTACTTTTTAAATATTGAAGAAAAAATAAAATATAAATTAGTTATTTATTAAGAAGGAAAAAAAAAAATAATATGTAATGAATTAATAAATAAATAAATAAATAATAAAAGTAAATGTTGAAAATAAAAAATTGAGTTAAATTAAGAAAGATAAAAGAAGAAAAAATATAAGTACAATAAAAAAGAAAAATAAATTAAATAAAAAAGCTAATATATACAAATTAATGGTTATATTATTTTAAATTTATTTTTATAAGTAAAAATATCAGAATCCAAAACAAATAAACTATTCTTACTAAAGATTAAGTATCAAATTTGAGAAATTAGTGCAATTTGCTAGAGATTAACCTAAGCCTGATGCACCTGCTTCACCAATTTAATTGTTACTTTTTAAATATTGAAGAAAAAATAAAAAATAAATTAGTTATTTGAAAGAAAAAATGAAGAAAAAATATAAAAAAATTAAGAAATGAATTAATAAATAATAAAAGTAAATGTTGAAAATATAAAAAATGAATTAAATCAAGAAAGATAGAAGAAGAAAAAACAAACATAAGTACAATAAAAAAGAAAAAGAAAATAAATAAATTAAAAGAGTTATATTGTTTTAAATTCATTTTTATACCTAAAAATATCACAATACAAAACAAATAAACTATTTTACCCAATATCAAGTGTCAAATTTGAGAGATTAATGCAATTTGCTAGAGCAGAACAGAAGCCTGATGCACCTGCTGTACCAATTTAATTATTACTTTTTAAATATTGAAGAAAAAATATTTAATTAATTAGTAATTTAAAAGGAAAAAATGAAATAGTAAGAAATGAATTAGTAAATAATAATAGCAAATGTTGAAAATAAAAAAATAAATGAGTTAAATCAATAAAGATAGAAGGAAAAAAAATACAAGTACAATAAAAAAGAAAAAGAAAAATAAATTAAATAAAAAGCTAATAAACAAATTAAAAGAGCTATCTATATTGTTTCACAATCTAAAACCAATAAACTAACTGTTTTTACCTGAGATTGAGTGCCAAATTTAATAGATTAGTGCAATTTGCTAAAGCAGAACATAAGCCAGATGCACCAGTTGCGCCAATTTAATTGTAACTTTTAAATAATAAAGAAAAATATTTTATTAATTAGTTATTTAGAATGAATAAATGAAGAAAAAATATGAAATAATAATAAAAGCAAATAAATTAATAAATAATAAAAGCAATTGTTGAAAATAAAAAGAATAGTTAAATCAAGAAAGATAGATAGATGAAGAAAAAACACAAGGAAAATTAAAAAGAAAAAAAATCTAATAAACAAATAAATTAAAAGAGTTATGTTGTTTTAAATTCATTTTTATAACTAAAAATATCACAATCCAAAACAAATAAACTATTTTTACCCAAGATCAAGTGTCAAATTTGAGAGATTAATGCAATTTGCTAAAGCAGAACCAAAGCCTGATGCCCCTGTTGCATCAATTTAATTGTTACTTTTTGAATATTGAAAAAATAAAATATATTATTAATTAATTAGTTATTAAGAATGAAAAAATGAAGAAATAAGAAATCAATTAATAAATAATAAAATAAATTGTTGAAAATAAAAAAATGAGTTAAATTAAGAAAAATAGAAGATAAAAATCACAAATATAATAAAAAGAAAAAGAAAAAAAAAGCAAATAAACAAATTAAAAGTGTTGTTTTGCTTTAAATTCATTTTTATAACTAAAAATATCACACTCCAAAACAAATAAACTGTTTTTACCCAAGATCAAGTGTCAAAATTGACAGATTAGTGCAATTTGATAGAGCAGAACCTAAGCCTAATGCACCTGTTGAACCAATTTAATTGTTACTATATAGATATTGAAGAAAAAGTAAAGAGTTAATTAGCTATTTAGATTGAAAAAATGAAAAAAAAATATGATATAAAAAGGAATGAATTAATAATAAATAATTTAAAAAACTATTTAAATTTAAAAAATGAGTGAAATTAAGAAAGATAGAAGAATTAAAAACTAAAAAAACAGACAAAAAATTAAATAAAAAGCTAATAAACAAATCAAAAGAGTTATATTATTTTAAAATCACTTTTATAAATAAAAATATCACAATTCAAAAAAAGCTGTTTTTACCCAAGATAAAGAGTCAAATTTGAGAGATTAGTGCAATTTGCTAGAGCAAAACCTAAGCCTGATGCACCTGTTTCACCAATTTAATTTTACCTTTTTAAATATTGAAGAAAAAATAAAAAATTTTAGTTTTTAAGAATTAAAAAATAAAGAAATAATATGAAATAATAAGAAATTAATTAATTGATAAATAAATAAATAATAAAAGTAAATATTGAAAATAAAAAAATGGATTAAATTTAGATAGAAGAAGAAAAAAACACAAATAAAATAAAAATAAAAAGAAAAAAATATCTAATAAACAAATACATAGAGTTGTATTTTTTAAATTCAATTTTATAAATAAAAATATCACAATCCAAAACAAATAAATTGTTTTACCATAGATTAAGTACCAAACTTGAGAGATTAGTGCAATTAGCTAGAGCAGAACCTAATTATGATGCACCAATTGCACCAATTTAATTTTTACTTTTTAAGCATTAAAGAAAAAATAAATTAAAAGTAAATGTTGAAAATAAAAAAATGAGTTAAATTAAGAAAGATAGAAGAAGAAAAAACAAACATAAGTACAATAAAAAAGAAAAACAAAAATAAATTAAATAAAAAAGCTAATAAACAAATCAAAAGAGCAAAATTATTTTAAATTCATTTTTATAACTAAAAATATCACAATCCAAAGCAAATAAACTGTTTTTACTAAAGATCAAATGATAAATTTGAGAGATTTGTGCAATTTGCTAGAGCAAAACCTAAACCTGATGTACCTTAATCACCAATTTAATTTGCACTTTTTAAATATTGAAGAAAACAATTAAAATTAATTAGTTATTTAGAAGGAAAAAATTAATAAATAATAAGAAATGAATTAATAAATAATAAAAAAATTGTTAAAAATAAATAATTGAGTTAAATTAAGAAAAATAGAAGAAAAAAAACATATTTACAATAAAAAAGAAATTAAATAAAAAGCTAATAAACAAATTAAAAGAGTTATATTGTTTTAAATTAATTTTAATAACTAAAAATATCACAATCCAAAGCAAATAAACTGTTCTTACCCAAGACCAAGTGTCAAATTTAAGAGGTTAGTGCAATTTGCTAGAGCAGAACTTAAATCTGATACACCTATTGCACCAATTTAATTGTTACTTTTTAAATATTGAAGAAAAATATATAATTAATTGTTATTTTTAGAAGGAAAAAATGAAGAAATAATATGAAATAATAAGAAATGAATTAATTAATAAATAATAAAAATAAATGTTGAAAATAAAAAAATGAGTTAAATCAAAAAAGATAGAAGAAATAAAAACACAAGTACAATAAAATAGAAAAGAAAAATAAATTTAAAAAAAAGCTAATAAACAAATAAATTAAAAGAGTTATATATTCATTTTTATAACTAAAAATATCACAATCCAAAACAAATAAACTATTTTTACTAAAGATCAAGTGTTAAATTTGAGAGATTAGTGCAATTTGCTAAAGCATAACCTAAGCGTGA